ACAGGCGCCAGCCGTGCCGCCGTGTCACCCCTCTTCCCTCCCGCTCCAGGGTGTCCGTAGGGGCTGAAACTTTATTCTGCAAAGAAGGCTGCTCGGTGGCAATCGACACGGGAGCGTCCTACATCACCGGCCCGGCCGGCCCCGTGTCTGTGCTGATGAAAGCCATCGGGGCGGTTGAAATGGCTGAGGGAGAGGTGAGCGAACCGGCGTCCCTGCCGCGCTCCTCCTTCCCGACGCCCTGGCTGCCCTCACCCCAGCCCGTTCCTGCCCGCAGCGCACGCGGCTCAGCTCTGTCTCCTTCCTCCCGCAGTTCGTTGTCGACTGTGACAGAGTCCCGCAGCTGCCCAACGTCTCCTTCCACCTGGGGGGGAAGGCGTACGGGCTCAGCGGCTCAGCCTACGTCCTCCGGGTAAGCGGACATCCCGCCGTGCACCTCCTAGCGCGGCTGCAACGCGCCCCAGCGCGATGCTTCTCCTTCCCAAAGCCCTTCCCAATCTGCGGCGTTGTCCGGATAAGCCCCCAGCTTTATTGGGTGGTTTCGGGGAGATTTGGGATGAGCAGCAAAGCACCGAGAGAACCAGGGCTCTTGCTTCCCAGAGAGAGGGAAGTCGGGGCCAAGGCGTTTCTCCGGGGATAGCGACCCTTCCTGGGTCACTCGGCAGGAATGGGAATCTCCCTACGAGCCCCGTGGTCACCACATGGGTCTCTCCTCTTTGCAGCAGTCCCAGTACGGAGAGGACGTCTGCGTCATGGCTTTCTCGGGTCTGGACATCCCACCCCCGGCCGGCCCTCTCTGGATCCTAGGAGCCACCTTCATCGGGCACTACTACACCAAATTTGACCGGCGCAACAACCGCATCGGCTTTGCCACGGCCCTCTGATGGCAAGTGGGGATGGGGCGGAGAGAGGGAGCCGGCTCGGAGGCAAGAGTACCGCCGAGAAGAAACGATTGGAAGCACGAACGAGAACAGCGTTGCCTTGAAACACAACCACCTCCTCTCTGCATTGAAGCAACTGCAAAGCCTCTCCCACTCCCACTCCCAAGCCCCCGCTCTGCTCTGCGAGAGTCTTTGCTTTCGGGGGGGAACAGCGCCTGAAATGCTTTTTCTACCGAGCATGTTCAGTGTGGAGATCAAAGCGGGATCACGTGTCCGGAGCGGCAGCTCCAGAGATTTCAGGGTGATGTGCAATAGTACAACCAGCGTGCAGCAAAACCAGAGGTGCTTGCAGGTTGCAGATGTACTGAGGAGGGACGATTTGTCACAGCCCGCGTTAGTCTTTGAGTGGGGGAAAAATAATCTGGCTGTATTTAATGACAGTTTGAGCTGGTGTTAACCCTATCCCTTTCCATGATTTAGCATTAAAAAAAACCCTCAAAGCAACAGGCTGCTGAATTGATGCTTGTTCTTGCGGAGGAGAGAGAAATGGGGCAGACTTTTAAGAGAATTAGGAAACAAGTGTTCCTTTATTGGGATTCATTATAGCAGACACTCTGCTTTTATATCATTCCCTGTGCAAGAGTGAGACACGCTCCCAGCTAGCGCCAGTGCTTCTACATGTAAGCAAATTGGAGTTGTTTTGATGATATGATAAACCTCCTTTCTTGTGTGTCCATGCTGCACCCCCCTGTAGAAGATGTGATCAGCCCTAAGAGCCTGATGGCAAATGAGGCTAGAGAAGCTCCCACCCAGGGCTGAGCAATGGTAACATCACACATGCTCTTAGCCCACCGCAAGGTAAAGGAAAACGCATCATCCTGCTCCACTGGTGCTTTGCAGCTTCCCCTGAAGCCTGCAACGCGAGCCGGGAGGAGACCAAACCGAAGCCGCTGAGGATGCTCCCTCGCTGCTCCGGGTGCCTGGGGTTAATCCGCGTCCTGCCCTCGCTGGCAGCCTGCCAGCCCAGCACGGCTCGTCGCCGGACGCTCCAGGAGCGGCC